ATCGCTGGGTAGTGTCCCTATCAAACCCATTGACCTTCCCAAATTTTACCTCGGAACTTATTCAGTTAAAACTCCATCGCTGAAAGAAAAGGCGCGAGCGGAGCCGGGTCGAAGTATAAATTCGGAGCCCCACACTTTTGTCATAGGCATTCATTGTGAAGATTATATTATGGCTTTGCTAACATTAAGCGTGCAAACTCCCTAAGTAATATCCTTGCACAGTACCGTTTTCACACAACATGTTTTCAAAATTCTAGTTTTGAATCAAAATTTAGGTCATTGCCCAAATAAATTGAGAGCTTATATGTGTATCAAAAATTTCACATTTTGGAATATATATTATAATAATAAATTTGTCATCGATATTGCTTATAATCCAATATGACATGATTGTACCAAGTATGTGAAGGGGATAGGCACTTTATAAAATAGAAACAAGAAAGGGAATTGATTTATACTCTATATATGTTAACAAGAAATTAACTTACAAACATTCTCATTAAATGATTGTACCCCATATTCAAAAATATTATAAGTAAACTTGTAAGGATAGATTTATAACATTCAATTTAAGAGGGAGTGTTAAATGATCGGGAGACCAGTATGGCATGATTATATCAAGTATGTGGAGGGAATAGACACTTTATAAATACAAACTATAAAGTGGGTTGATTTATACTCGATATATGTTAACAGAAAATTAACTTACAAACATTCTCATAAAATGATTGTACCCCATATTCAAAAATATTAAAAGTAAACTTGTAAAGATAGAATTATAACATTCAATTTAAGAGGGAGTGTTAAATGGTCGTGAAACCCACAATCCAACCAATCTTGACTGAAATCCTTGAGCAAAAAGATTAAAGGTTCTAATCATTGGATTGATTTACATATGGCCCCTAGATTGCAATGTGAACCCCCTCCTCTACTAGTCGTCAGCCCCTCTTAGGAACTTATTTCTTTATTGTAAATAGTTTTGATTAATTTTCATAAAAAGACTTCTATATAATTTTTTATGTACTTCCACGTTTTGTACAAAATCAAACAACAAAATTTAAAGTAGCTTTTTCTACTTTTCTACACAAACAAAGATGTGCTATTCTAAATGAAATAATTTACACTGTTCATTTGATTCTTACTCCATAAGAAAAAAAAAATCGGTGATATTACATTATTATGAAAACTAATAGCAACTCACCATAAGAGATGACAAAACTAACCTTAAAATGTTCCTACTGTTAAGCTGTTTGAAGTAAAATAAAAAAAGACATGACTGGCACCATCTCACTCAGAATTAAGGGCGGGCACAATTAGCCAAATACATAATCTCAAGATGTGTGTCAAGTACAATGCACCAGTAAATTGATAAAAAAAAATGTAATTTAAAGACCAGCTCAAGTAATTACACATGGCATTTAAGTCAATCGAACTTATCATTCACTAGCCAAATATTTAGAACCAAAACTAATAAATAAAATCCCTTAAGAAAAATCAAAAAGTGTCACAAAGTTTCATTTTCAGATTTCATTTCATATATTTAGTATTATATATATATATAAATATATATATTATATTATATATAAATATTATAATATATTATATGCACCACACACAAACACACTTCTAACAAATATGGCAGAACTATTGCATACAGTTAAAACCTTATGATATATAAAAAAGTATGCTACCACCAAATTGATGGTATATGTTGGTAAAACCTATACAAATTGCTAATTAGCTATAGGTCCATAAAGGTATGACTCTTTCTGAGAATCATTGAATCCCAAGTGTTGAAAAGACCTTTCCTAGTTCAGGATATATTTTTATAAAAGAATATTATATATTAATATATATATAATATATATATATATATAATATATATATATTTAGAGTTATCTACTAAGTTTTGAATGTCAAACAATTGTGGCAAACATTTGGGGTTTCAATTTAGAATGGTATGTAAAATTCAAGCTTGATCCGAAGTTGACCTGATTCAAATATGTTTGACGCGAACAAAACTCATTTATTATACAAGTCAAAATATTTGAACTAAACCCGAGTTGTTTAACTCATATATTATATTGGATCATGCATTTTTTTTTATCAACACAACTCGTTTAGCACAAATATGATTGTTTGACCCAAAACAAAACATTTAATATGAATCCAAACAGCATTCAAGTCATTTTGGGTTTATGGATCAACCCACACCAAACTTGAAATTTTATTGAGTCAAAATTTCAGACTCGAACCCAGCCCAAAATTTAATCAGGTCAACTTGAAGCTTGATTTGTCATGTCAAATCCATGTCGAGTTGTCAGGTCGATCATTATTGACACCCTACTTTTAGCATATTCAACCACATTACTTGGTAGACTATTACTATAAGACCAAACTTCCAGCATTATATATTTCCTTAAGTCCGTATTATTTTTTATTTATATTTATTCATTTATACTCCTATTAGGTTTTGGTTAGTTATTGCTTTATAGTTGGTTAATTTATTGTTAAGGACTATGTATATTCAATAAATATTATTTATTTCTTGGTACTTAATTGTTTTTTGCATACAATTGCTTATGGATGAATATTTCCCTCTTGAATATTAAATAGTTTTATTTGATCTTGAATTTTGAGATTTATCTTATAAGTTGAGATTAATCCACACATGCAGCGGCAGTGCGCAGGGTGCATGCCATGGAAGTCGACAGGACCTGCTTAGCAACAACTGTAATGCATCCCACAACAACAAGCAAGGAGCGACAATGGTGGCAAGTAGGATGTGTGTAGCGGAATTGAGTAATTAGAGCAACAGACATGTAGCAAGTTGTAGCTATGTGCGAAGGGCAGGAATAAAAGACGAGAAGTGAGAGAGATAGAGGGGGCGCGTTAAGGTCAGGACTAACCCTACTTTAATACTATGTTAAAAGGGGAAAGCTTTTGAGTATTAATCACTAGAAGATTCATATATTTGTAATAACGGTGTGAGAGTATAATGATCTAGATACAATCAAATAAACATAGAGAAAATTCCTAATTTACTATTTTCCTTGGCTAAAAATACACATTTGGAAATATGCAAACTATTTTTGGTAGTTGAAGGAAAACACACATAAAAGATAGTTTAAAGACCAATGGATGACATTCTTTTAGTAACTATTTGGTTGAGAAATAGTGTTTGCTTGAGGAATAAAATATGGACGATAGAGTAAT